TAGGGCGATATATTCTGACTCCTTATAGATAGAGTAGTCGGGGGCTTAATGCAGTAACTCAGGATTGAAAAAATGAATTTAATGTTCTGAAAATTTATAAAAGTAAACCGCAAAAAGTAAACGCAAAAGTAAACCTTATTTAAAATAATTATTTTATGAAAATTTTTTTGTTGGAGGCACATAAATCTTTCAATTGTTTTTTTTTAATCTTAACTGAAGAGTCAGGGTTGGAAGATTTGTATGATGTAAAATTGAAAGAAAAAATTAAAAAAAAATACATACATATATGTATATTATAAAACGGAGCTAATATTTTAGTTTTTGATGTTATTTTTGTATTTTTTGAAGATAAACTTTGAAAAAAATGGAAAAAAGTAGTGTAGGGAAAAATGTAGGGAAAATAAAAAGTGGGTGTAGGGAAAAAAGGGATTTTTTCTCATAAGCGTAGGGATTTCTGAAAAAAATCTCCTGGCATCACTGTGTTGAGGCCCTACGTTGGTTGTCATTAAATTTATGTAACGAATCCCACCCTAAGGCCCTGTCTTTATATGGATGTTAGCTATCCTCTGTCTCCAGTCATGCTCAGTCTTGGGAAGGTCCTTTTCCAATAAAAAAAAAACAGGTAAAGGATTGTCACACAAAAGTAAAAATTTCAGGATAGCATTATAAAGATGAAAATAGAAATAATTAAAAGCAAAAATAAAAAATAAAAAGAAGAAAGCTAATAGGGATATTGTGATGACATTTAGAACCAAAGATGTCATTCGGTCATTTACCGACCAACCCTCCTATGATATCATAGAATGTTTTCTATCGCTTATAAAGCCTATCCATTTCCATACCTTTCGTGATTGATATAATATTTAATGTTCCATTATAATAATTATCAATTTATTAAACAAAATTAATCATAATATTATAATATTCAAAGTAATATTATAATATTCAAAGTATGCATCATTAATATATCGATATTTACTAACAAATATTTTTGAGTGTATTATATTGTTATTTTTATATATTCATATATCATTTATATTGTCAAAAAAATTATTTCACAAAAAGTATAACAAAATTAAAATTTTCCATCATTTCGTCAATATTAAAGAAATATATTTTTGAAGTTGTGTTTTTGTTTTTGTTGACAAAAGGATTTCTTTTAAAAATTGCTAAGGTATGTTGATGAAATTTAAATTTTAAACATTTTGTCAACTGAAACAATTATAATTAAGTAGTAATTTGTAGTTTTATCAATGAATTATGAATAAAAATATTTTGTTAATCACATTTAACTATATTTCCATCGTCGACAAGCGCTTGATGACCAGGAACTTTAAAATTGAAATTTAAGTTATGTGTGTGTATTTGTATGTTATTTAGAAGAGTTTTAGATGGATTTAAAATGACATAATTTCATTAACAATTATTGGAAAAAATTGTAAAAAAATAACTATTGTAAATACAATTAAACATGAACAATATTAATCATAAAAGAAATAAAAAAAATATTGTTTTTTTTTATATAAAAAAAAATTAAATTAATAGATTATATACAAAACCAAAGACCAAAAGTAAATAATGAAAAGGAACTGGAGCATAATAATAATAATAATAATATAATAATAATAATAATAATAATAATAATAATAATAATAATAATAATAATAATAATAATAATAATAATAATAATAATAATAATAATAATAATAATAATAATAATAATAATAATAATAATAATAATAATAATAATAATAATAATAATAATAATAATTAATAATAATTGCCGGTGCTTTAGCATATAATGGTTAAAAAAAATAATCTTCAATTAAAAACTGTTTTGTGGTTTGCTGGGTATTTTGTTACGAAATATATTTTATATTTTGCTAATTGATTACTTGATTACTTGATTACTGGATTACTTGAAATTGCTGCTAAATTTGTCCGCTGGTTATTGTAAGATATTGAGCACAATTTATAAAAGATTTGAGATTTTTCTATGATGTGCAAATCCGGCCAACAATAGATATTGTATTGTCTTAAAGCTGAGAGATGTGCGATCCATAAAAGCTGTGGGCATTTGTTATATCCACAGCAAATTCTAGGATAACCTGAGCAAAAGCCTTGAACATCCAATAAAATTTTGCAAAATCAAAAAAAAAATTTGATCACAATTTAAAATAAAATAATTCAAAAAAAGTATTTGTTTATATCGAAAAAATTTCGTATGAACTTTTTAAAAAAAATTTGTAGAATCCAAAATTTCCCAAGAAAATTTTGACATAATAATAAATGCTATAGTGAAAATGTTGAATAAGTATTCGAAAGATTTCCCAAAAGCTTTTAATAAGCAAGTTTCATCCAAAATAATAAATCGTACTCACAAGATCTTAATTAGGAATAAAACAAAAATGTTTAAAGTGTTGAGAAAAATATAAAAAAATCAAAATTAGACCAATATGTTAGGAAATATTTGGCATCAGCTAATTATTTTTTGCCGTTAGTTAAAAATTGACATTATTTAAAAAAATATGATCTGAATTGAACAAGATGTTAATGACATTAATTAAGAATAAAACAAAAATGGTTAAAGTGTTGAGACAGTATAGAAAATCGATATTAGACCAATCTGTTGGGAAATATTTGCCATCAATTAGTTTTAACATAACTTGCCCGTTTAATTACAAATGGCTTATTTTTGCTTAAAAAATAAAAAAAACTCAAAAATACTTCCAAAATTTTAATTGGTCACAAAAGGGTTAAAAACGCGAAAATTTATATAAACATATCACAAATACAAATACAAAATAAATTTTCAATGTAAAAAAAATATTTGTATAGTTTTGGACGATTCTAAAGAAGTACATACTAAATCAAAAACTTCATAAATTCGTCTATTGCACTTTGGTTCCCTACGCCCACTAAAATGGAAGTATTCCAACTGAAATTAGTTTTCATTTCATTAAAATTTACATAGTTAATAGAGAAAATAAAATAAGATCAACCTGTTTGAGCTTATCGGATCCTGTCCAGTTTTAAAGGGTTTAATTTGGGGTCAAAAATTTCAACATTTTTAGTTAGTTTAACAATGTAGTACTGTTTACTAATAACAATCAATTCAAATTTTCCATAAGGAGACAGCCAAATATCCACAACGAGAAAACTGGTAAGCTTGGGCATGCCAACCTTATATTTTTTTATCTTGTGTGTAAATGCCAATTAATCTGGATTTTCTGTTGAGATACTTTCCCTATAAGTATATTACATAAAATATATTTGAATGTGTTTTTAGAAAAAATTTATGGTTTATTATCAAAAACATAAAACTAAAAAAATCAATAATAAAATGAAATATTTTGAAATCTAATAGGTATTTTTCAACATCAAGTTCAAAAGAATTTTCGTAAGTATTAAAATCAAACCTAGTTTCCTGGTCATCCATAGACAAACCGAAGCATTTCAGTACGGTTAATCAAAAATTGTACTAAAATAAAATTACAATTGTGGTAGTTTGCTGAAAAATGCTGGTGAGATATGAATATACACTCAAAATACACACTTTGACGAACACTTCCACATTTAAGCTTTCATGCGAGTTCGTGCCCAAACTCAACTTTTGGTTCATGGAACTTATAGGTTATGTTGAGACAACAAAATTGCACAATCACAATATTAAGAATTACGACAAGGATTCAACAAAAAAATTCAAAAATATACCAGAAAACTGCTTACCTTGGACTATATTTTCCATTTTTGAAATACATACTTCATGTTTTTAAAATTTGTTCGTTATACAATTATTACACTGTTTTGATACTTATTTAAGAACTCGTGTTTAAAGTTTCAACTTTGAAAGCCTAGCAGACCGGTAGTGTTGCCAATTGTTTTTTTTTTTTTTTTTTGTAATATTTTTTCGAATTGCTTGAAGAGTTGTTAGTAAGAAAATAAATTTACTTTTAACAATTATTAAAATATTTTTCTAATTTTTCTAAAAAAAAGTCGATTTGGAACCAACGTGTGTAAGAAAATTACATTTTGAGTACTTTGACCATTTCTTTTTTGTTAGAATACAACTTTGAGATAAGTATATAGAGTAACAACATGTCACGATTTTCTGCCTGATCATCCAAAGTACGTAAGCCTCTTATAACTTCATCATAAACATTTCGTTTTCGGCTATATATATTCTCACCTGAAACGAGAACGGCCCCAACTAACCAAAAATTCAAAATCGATTTTATTGGTTATTCTAATGTATTGCATCAAAACAAATGTCCACAAACAAATTAGACTCCTCCGACCATAATTATCGATTTTATTGACAGAAAACAAAAACATTTAAATATTAAAGGTAAAAAGTCCAATTTATCCATTTTTATATACGCCATTGTCAACTATCATAATGAAAGATTGGTTTGACTACTAAACAATTTGTTTATCTACTACAAATTAATCGCGTTGATAGAAACAAACTTTTCAATTTAAATAGTTTTTTGCTTCTCCTGTAAAATTTTAAAAATGTTAGATAGGGTCGTTTGCGTTTTAGGTGACGATATATCCTCTTATTCTACCCCTGTTAAAATTCTAGTTTCGAATTCATTCATCGCCTTCGCATTTCTAATCATAGCTGACCAATATCTATACATATATTCGCACTAAATTTCTCCTAAACAATTGTCAGTCTATTAGCTGGGATTGTGACCTGAATATTTCAAAGAAATTAAATATTCGTGTAAGAGCTGATTTTAATTGAGACCGCCATTAATGTTTTCATTATGACTTCAATTATTATCTTCTGATCCGGTGCGAAGTGAACAAGATTATTAATGGCACAGATAGTTATGTACGATGTAAGTGTTAAGGTTCTATTGGAACAACTTAGTGCGAAAAAGCCGAAAATTATCTTCAAATAAATTGTTATTTATCCGAAGATTATACTTTAAAACTTAAGTTTATGATATAAAATGTATTTTAGATAATGGAATATAAATATTGAACCTTACCTGACTTATATCATCATCAATGATACTTCTGTATGAAGCTTCCGCTAAAGCAAATACATGTGGTTCATGGGAACCAAATTTTTGTCCGTGATATTTGAGAACATAATTCTAAAAATTAAATATGATTAAATCAATATATATATTTATAAATAATAAAACATAATTTCCTACCTTGCTAAAAATCTGCAATGGTTTATAAGGATTTACAGCCACAAGTATTGATCCAGTATAAGTCTAATAATTTTTTAAGAAATCCATATAAAAAGTTAATGCTACTAAGATAATTAATTGGCTTTCATTATAAGCGACATATTTTATTTTTGACATTTCTCGATACATCCAGTATATTTGGGTTATAAATCGACTAGTGCGTTTTTTTTAACCCTTTCCGTGGTTTTGTCGAATATATTCGACATTACAATAGACTCTGTTTTTAAGCATTTTTTGGGTATAATATTTATCTTTAGTTTTAATTTTTTTCTTTTAGATGAAAATGAAGACTGTAGGGGTACATCCCTTTTTATAACTGTAAATTTTAATTTCATATTCATTGATTTTAAAATAATAGATTGTCAATTATTATATTCAAGAATTTTCATAAAAATATAATTTACGCATTTGAAAACATTAAATTTAAAATAAAAAACACAAATTTATTTATTTAAATATAACGACTACAATTGGCGATCCTGCAAGTTAATATTATAAATAAATCAAAAATAAAGAAAAACAAACCTAATTATTTGGGAATTGGCTCAGAGATTTAATCTTATCAAGATCTTAGATTTCCAAATATCAAGATCATCAAAAAATATTATTTATCAAGATTATCAAACAAGATCATCAATCAAGATCATATGTTAAGATCATCAATCAATTTCACCGTTCAATTTCCTAAAAACAGACAATCATTAAGCACGAAACCTGAATTAGAGTCAAGATCCCTAAATAAAATATCCCGCTTCAACCTACTATAAATATCGGTCAATTTACCTGAACTTTTAAAAAAAACAGAAATAAGTATATTATATTATATTTATTTAAGTTACCTTTAGTATATACATCCAAATACATACACGTTGTTAAATCAAATCAATATACTACATTCGTTGTTGTTACTTGTTTGTTTATTGTTTGTTAATCGTTGTTAATTGTAAACTTTCCCTTCGGAAACCATGTTTGTACACTCTCCCAATTCAACACGTCCAAATTGTACGTCACAACCCAATTTAACAGATAATTCTGACAACATCAATACTGAAACTGGAACATTGACTGAATTAGATAATCGTTCAACTCCTACTTGTCCTCAGTCTAATATTGAAATTTGTTCTACCACTATTAAACTTCCCCAATTTTGGACAAATTGTCCGGAAGCGTGGTTTATCCATGCTGAAATGCAATTTGCAAATAGGAAAGTAACACAGGACATTACTAAATATGAGTATGTTGTTACTGCTTTACCTCAAGATGTAATAGTAACTGTACTTGACATTATACAGAAACCTCCTTCAAGTAATCGTTACGATCATTTAAAGAAAATCCTTATTGAAAGGCATTCTATGAGTGAAAATACAAAATTAGATAAAATATTGTCTGATTCTGAGATGGGAGATCAAAAACCATCTGAATTTTATAGGTCATTAGCTTTACTTGGGAATTCAAATTTTAGTCCCGACGTGTTAAGAAAAATATGGTTAAGAAAATTACCAAATAACATAAATGTTGTCTTGACTGGTTCCAATTTAACAGATATCAACGAATTAACACGCTTAGCTGATAACATATGGGAAATGCTACAGGGTAATAAGATAGCAAGTATTAGAGACACTACTCCAATACATTCTGCAAATTCGTATAGTCTAGAAAAGGTTGTTGAAAATCTAGTACAAGCTACTACCAATATTTGTAATAGCTTCAATAATCTTTCATTAGACGTAGCTTCAATAAAAAATCAGTTAGATGGACAACAGTACAGGCCCTTAAATAGGCGATTAAGTAGGAGCAGATCTCGTCCTAGATCTACGAATAGAGACTGGATTTGTAGATTCCATTACAGATACGGTAGTGAAGCAAGAAGGTGTGAACAACCTTGCTCTTATTATAGACAAAAAGAAGATTCAAAAAACTAACTGGACCCACTATCGAGGCGACAGATAATGGGAGTTTGAACTTGTCAACACGTCGCCTTTTTCTTAATGATAAGAATAATAAAATAAAATTTTTAATTGACAGTGGGGCAGATATATCTGTCCTTCCATCTTCAAAATTTAAAAGTCATAAGACTACTTCTGACATTGTTCTGACGGCAGCAAACGGTTCAAATATATCAACATTTGGTAAGAAAATGTTGAATGTAGATTTAGGATTACGACGCGAGTTTCCCTTTGTTTTTATTATTGCTAACATTGAAAAGCCTATAATCGGAGCGGACTTTTTACACAAATACGGACTTTTAATTGACATAAAAAATAAAACGTTAATTGATCCCTTAACTAAATTATCTATTAATACAGTGTCACGCTACTGTAAAATTTCTTTACCAAAAGTTTTCGCCGTTGATAATCAATACACTAGTCTACTTAAACAGTACCCTTCATTAATATCTAAACCTGATTACACAAAACCAGTTAAACATTCAACGGTACATAGATTAGCAACCAACGGTCCGTTACCATTCACCAAACCTAGACCCTTAGATCCGATTAAATATAAAGTTGCTAAAAGTGAATTTGATTTTCTTGTAAAATCTGGCATTTGCAGACCTTCAAATTCATGTGCAGCATCTGCACTGCATTTAGTTCCGAAAAAGGACCCGAATGATTGGCGACCATGTGGTGATTTCCGACGACTCAATTGTATCACAGTGCCTGATAGATATCCACTTCCACACATACACGACCTCAACATAAACATGACAAATAAGAAAATTTTTTCAAAACTTGATTTAGTAAGAGCTTACCATCAGATTCCTATGGCAGAAGAAGACATTTTTAAAACAGCAATCACCACACCATTCGGACTATTTGAATTTGTACGAATGCCTTTTGGTTTAAGGAACTCGGCACAAACTTTCCAGAGGTTTATTAATGAAGTCTTTAACGGACTTGACTTTGTTTTTGTTTACATTGACGATGTACTGATTGCTAGTGAAAACGAGGAAGAGCATATAGGTCATTTAAAATTAGTTTTCGAACGCTTAGACGAATATGGATTAAGCATTAAACCAGGAAAATGCACTTTTGGAGTTCCCAGTATAGATTTTCTTAGCCACAATATATCAAGTGATGGAATTAAACCATCAGAGGAGAAAATATCGGCAATACTCAATTTTGAACGACCAAAGACTGTGAAACAAATTCAGAAGTTTATAGGAATGGTAAACTATTACCATAGATACATCCCAAAGTTAGCAGAATTATCAAGTCCAATTCACTTAATGATAACACAGGCACTGAAAACTAAAAAGAAAACTGTTGAATGGAATAATGAAAGTTTAAAGGCCTTTGAAACTATTAAAGATCAATTCGCTTCAAGTATCTTATTAAATCATTTTAATAACAAAGCTAAATTGACTTTAACTGTTGATGCTTCTAATATTGCAGTTGGTGGAGTTTTACAACAAATACATAATGGAATTCCCAAACCATTAGCATTCTTTTCGAAGAAATTATCCCCATCTGAATCCAAATATAGCACTTTCGATCGAGAGCTTTTAGCAATCTATCTAAATATTAAACATTTTAGACATATGTTAGAAGGAAGGACATTTACAGTTTACACTGACCACAAGCCTTTAGTTTTCGCTTTAAATTCAAAAACAGAAAGAAGTCCACGACAATCAAGACATCTAGAATATATCTCTCAATTTACCAATGATATTAAACATATAAATGGGGACTCAAACGTTGTAGCAGATACACTATCTAGAGCATTCGAGTTAGACGCCTTTCAACAGTCAGATATAAATCTGAAAGTTTTATACGATGAGCAACAGAAGGATGTAGAACTCAAAGACATTTTGAAAGACAAGAACAGACACCTTAATTTGAAACAAGTGAATGTTCCACTATTTAATGTTTGTTTATGGTGCGAAACTTGTCAAGAGACAACAAGACCTTTTGTTCCGAATACTTTACGCAAAATAATTTTTGAAAAGTTACACTCAATTTCTCATCCAGGTATTAGAGCTACTCGTCGTCTAATTTCTCATCGTTATTTTTGGCCAAACATGAATAAGGATATAAATTTGTGGTCTAAGCAATGTGTAAATTGCCAGAAGTCAAAAGTAAATAGATACACCAAATCACCTGTAATGAAAATAGATATTCCTAGAGGTAGATTTGAGCACATTCACCTTGACATAGTCGGTCCACTTCCTCCATCTCGTAACCATAGATACATTTTAACAATCATTGATCGTTTTACGCGGTGGCCAGAGGCATATCCACTCAAGGATATTACAGCGTTGACAATAGCCCAGACATTTTTCAGGAATTATATAAGTCGTTTTGGAATACCTCTTAAGATAACTAGTGATCAGGGTACCCAATTTACATCGAAAATTTTTACGGAACTAACAAAATTATTAGGTAGTCATAAAATTATAACCACTCCTTATCACCCACAAGCAAACGGTATAGTAGAAAGATTCCATCGATAGTTAAAGGCAACAATTATGGCTAATGAAAACTCTGAAAATTGGTATGATATTCTTCCGGTGGCTTTACTCGGTCTCAGATCAGTATTCAAAGAAGATTTGAAAGGAACTTCTGCTGAAATGGTGTATGGTCAAAACATTAGATTACCTGGAGAAGTAGTAGTTTCAAACATGGAAGAAACTTCTTATGATTTTTTAAATAAATTAAAAGAATATTTTAAAAATGTTCGTTCTGATTTATCACATCACAAAAGTAGTAATAATGATATATATGTACCTAAAGATCTTTCTACTTGCAAATACGTATTTGTACATGTTGATCAAAAGAGGTCCTTGCAAACACCATTTGAAGGACCGTACAAAGTAATTGAAAAAGATAAAAAAAGTTTCAAGTTAGATGTGGATGGTAAAATAAAAACGATTTCTATAGACAAACTAAAACCTGCATACATAGAAAACACTAACATCAATAATACTATACAAAAACCCAAAAAAAGTGTTACATTTAATTTATTAAACGTTAATCTTTCCGGAGGGGGAGTATTGTAGGGGTACATCCCTTTTTATAACTGTA